CTTAGGGCCCAAATGCAAACACAACCAGGAAATAGGGAATGCTTAAAGGCAATTTATTGCAATGTGAGGATGGGAGTCTGAAGGCTGGAGTGGAATGATGGCTGGGGTGAACTAGGAATGGCGAAGCAGAGCAGACAGAGCAGGGGGCGCTGAAGAAAGTCCAAATCCAGAGGCAGGAGATGAAAATGAGGCTGGACGTGGATGGTTATAGTTGAGGCTTGCGTGGTAAACCTGAGACACAGAACAGTGTGAATTAATGGCCAAAAAGTACAAAAAAAAGTGTCAAAACACGCAGGAGTTGGCCTTGACATCTGTGCCACAGAGTCTGGTTGCTTAGCCGGGGTTTTATACTGCAGTGGCTAGATTGTAGATGTGGTTCAGGTTCAGCAGCTGCTGGCACTCAGGAGGATCAGCAGGAGGAGGGAACTAGAAGGCCACGCCTAGCAAACACACAGAGACAGACTGAAAACAAACATGAGACAGGGAGAGGCAAAGCTAAAACCCCAACAAAACCTCCATCTTTGTGTTATCATCTGTCCACTCTACAGGGTTTTCCACATGTAGATTTATTTGTGTCGGACTGCCACAACATCAGCATCCATCGCCATATATAGATTTTCAAGTTTTGGAGCTGCGTCTCTCTCTATCCAGCGGCAGAGCGAATTTGTGGCACAAATGGAGCATTATCGTTATCTTATTATTGTTGTCTATTGATTTTGCAACGTACTTTAGATGACACGGGCTGCGTGGTGTGCACAGTCCAGCACTGGGTCTGCAGCAGAGCAAAGTTTGCTTTCATTTGCCTCTGCAGCAGCTGCTCCTCTAATCAACTGATCAAATCTGACCTCAAACTGATCGAATGGAAGTCTTGAATGTGATAATTAAACAGATTGTTCCTCAGTTGTCCACCTCGCGACTCAAATCAACAGACTGCTGAGGAAAAATACAAAAAGTCATGAAAAGTTCCGCTTGAGCTGCGTTCACAGACCAAAAACCTCCAAATTCAGTTGAACTCTTTCTGTGTGATCTGGGCCTTAGACTACTTTTCTGACAACCAGCTTGACATGAGGGACACCAAACATTCTGTTGTTCTCATTACTGTCTGTGTTTGACATTAAGGCCTAGTTTCCCAGATCGGGCGAGGCGGAGGCACCTGTGCTTCGCCAACTGGGTGTGGCCAGGCGTATTTTGCAAGTTTGGCACACCATGCGCGCTGGCGCAGCTACTCCTCTTTCCCACCTCCGTCCCTCCTACCGGCTCAAGTCAGAAAGAGGGAAGAGAGAAGGCGTGGAGTGGGTTTTACACACATCACACCAATCAAATGAGCCCCTCTCCTCGCCCTTAAATGCGCCGCGCAAAGGCGTAATGAGAGTTTACTCAATTCGCCATGGCGGAAGAGAGCAGCAGCGTCAGACGGCCAAACTTCTCCCAGGAGGAAACTGATGTTTTGGTCCGGGAGGTCCAAGCTCCAAATATATGGAACTGTGAGCAGACCTCCACGGGCTGATGATGCAAAGGTAGCCTGGGAGGAGGTCACCACAATTGTAAAGCAATGTTGCGTTGGGTTTCCATTATGCGTGCCAAACATGCCAAACATGCCATACGGTGCCAGTCCCCTTTGATCTGACATCAGATGTGACGGGACAGTCGATATAGAGATACATTTATGTGCTGATTGCAGATAGTTGCATGGAATAGTGGTTTTTGTGGGTATTTATTGCATCGTTAATGTGCCTGACATTCTGGAAACCTGCCTGTGATGTTTTGGTGACGTGTGCGCACTGTCTGCCGGTCAGCCAAACTTCCACTTACACCGGCTGCGCTCCCCCTGCGCTGACAGTAGACCTGGTTTCAGCTGGTGAGCTTTTAGAACACCTTTGGTGAAGCCTTTTGGCACGAAACTGTCACTGCGGGTGACTTGTTCAAAGACAAGACCAAGCTGGGTCTGTCGACACCTCCCCCTGCTGCGCCGCCACACCCATCTCAGCGCACCTCGGTCTGCCAAACTACCAAACTGAGCGCGCCTCGGGTTGTACTGCTTGAAACTAGCTCTGCGCAGGGTTCGCCACCCTGCGCCACCCTGCGCCACGCCAGGACACTAGAGACCAAAGACTGCAACCGTTATTGCCTGTTGTTAACAGGTCAACCAGTTAAGTGTTTGATGAAGCAGATTAGTGGAAGTCAGGAGCTCTTGTCAAGGTTTTATGGGGTCCTCAGCATTTATAAAGAGCAGTGTGCTTCTGTGTTTTTTCACTCCAGAGAAGTTGTCACAAATGTAGAAGTTTCCCTCCTTGTTTCCTGTTTGTTTTCAGTCTCTGCTCAGTTAAATCTGCTCTGATTGGATTACACTGAACAGAGTCTTCTCACACTGGGGTCCCTGTTGTAAAGCACAACTATTTCGGGGTTCCTGGCATGAAAATGCACGACCCAGTTGAGGCAGCTTTCTTTTGTCTTGTTCCACTCCCTCATTCAATCCCAACACTTCTTGCTGCCAAAGAACGTGCTCCAGTGTCCAAGTCTCAAATTTAAGTCTGCTTATGTTATCTTAGTGTGCCTTTCATCATCGTCTAAGGAGAGAACATAGTTGCTCTTTGGCTTGTTGAGGCGTAATAATGGCTCCTCTTGGCAATGTTGTTTTTTATGGATCAAAAGGCGATCCATAAAAAGTTGTCCAAATAGTGATCTGCAGGTCTGGAGACACTTAATGTTCTGGCTCCTGACTGAAAACACCTAAAGCATTACAGCACTTCACACAGCAGGACTCCCAAACATAAGAACAGTAACTCAGACTTGTGAGCAGTGTGGGAGCTTTAACACCAGCTCCGTGTTTACCCTCTGAATACAAAGTGGTTGTTGTTATGGCTAAAACTTTAACAATTTATTATTAAGAACAAACTGGTATTTCTCATTTCTAAATTACAGGAGCTCAGTCGCTAGCAGACTGTTAGCATTTATGGTAGCTTACTCAAGCTAATAGGTAGCCTACTGTTGTTTCCTTGAGAGAGATTAATACTAGTTGACTGCACAATTCAACAGCTTGGTGCTACACTGGTGTTGTTTGTATCCTAATAACATAATGTTGATTTATGGATCTTGGTTAGATGTTAGTTTGATGAGTTTAGTTTGATAAGAAAAGTGATTCCACTCTCACGCCTGTTATGGTATGCTAAATAGAGTCGGCCAGGAATGATTCCTAAAACCTGGGAATTAGTTAGCATTTTAGCACTCCTGGTTCCTCGTCTTGAAGTCAGTTTTGGTTCGATGCCTGAAATAAGGTCTGTGGTTAGCACAAGTTTAGGAACGTTTTTGTTTTGTTCTGTGAAATAAAATATGTTGGTAAATACCACACTCTTTGAACCCAACAGAACTTTGAATCTTCTATATGTCTTAAAAAAAGGCGGTTGCTAACAACTGGCTAAATGAGATGACAGAATGTCGTCACACCAAGCTGTGCCGCACACGGCTTTACAGTCTTCCAGTCTTTTAGTGGTGGTGTAGCTTGTTTGAAGTCTAACATTAGCTTTTCACTTCTATTGACTGCCTTTAGGCTTCAGTTATCATGAAAATGATGTTCATTTGTGAAGTGTTTGTTTGCCTCAGAGCTTATTTTAGGCAATAATCCAAAATCCAATGGAAAAATCCTGTAGACTTTTTTGACGTATTCCCTGTTCCCTATATGAGGGGCCAGCTGGCGATTAGCTTAGCTTAGCATCAAGGCTGGAAAGAAGGGGAAACAGCTTGCCTGACTCTGCCCAAAGGTAAAACAACACATGCCCCTAAGCTTACTCCCTAAAACCACAATTTTTACATTTCTGTTTTAGAGTAAATTAAACTAAATCAAACAAACAAGAACATATGCACACATTAATTAGTAAGGCATTTGTTGTTTTCCTCTGCTTCCAGTCTTTATGCTAAGCTAAAATGATTGTCCTCTGGCCTTAGCTTCATATATAGCGTACAGATATGAGATTGTTATTGATCTTCATCTAATTCTGGTAAGAAGGCAAATGAGCTATTGAGCCAAAATGTCTAACTACTCCTCAAGGATTTCAACCTAACCAGTACGGGTCAGAAGGCAGCCAATCATCTTAAACATTATAAATGAATCTCTTTTCTTAAACCAATCAAATGTCAGAGAATAGTAAAAAATATTCAGACAGATTCAAATAGCTTTTGTCCGACCTATAATATATTCAATTCACAATCATCTTAAACAGCAAATGTTCAGCTTTTAGTTTACGTCATCGATCGTTGCAGATGTACTCCCTGTCAATCATCTGATTGATTATTTGACTATAATGTCTGTGAAACTACATTTCCATGGTGGCCTGATCCAAAGTATTGACTGCCTCAGTTGCTGTAAAACAATATCCAGTGATTAATTTTTCACCACAGCATTTTGGAGCTGCCCAGCTCTGCTTCTCCTCACAGTTTCTGGATCTTTTTGTTCTCTTACTGAAACCCATCAGATGACTCAGATACTCCCTGTGAGAGCACTTCATTAGACCTCTTCTCTGCCCACTTCACACATTTAATATGACACTGATCCACTTTCACAGAGGAGAGAGGGAACATTAATGTTGTGTTTGTCTCGTTGCTCTGACCTAAGCTGCTGCAGTTGGCAGGTGCTTGGGTTTGATATCGTAAAGACGGCAGGTTTCAGTCATATGCTGCAGAATGACTTTGTGCTATACTGTTAAAAAGACAAACAAGATAAATAGGTTAAGAAAAATCAGGAAGTGTTTTACTGATTTCATAACTGTTCCCTCTGTATTCATTTAACACTTGTGGGCCACCACAGCAGCACTGCCAACACTGTAAAATAAAAATGGTTGAGCAGCAGCGGAGAGTTACTGTACTTCAGTAAGGCTGAGAGGGAGAGTGATAAAACAGTGTTGGCTCCTGTTCCAGATTAAGAAATCCATATGTTTTTGATCAGGAAGAAACTGACGTGTTATGTGTGTGTGTGTGTGTGTGTGTGTGTGTGTGTGTGTGTGTAGGCTGGCACGGTGAGGGACTCCATGGCCAAGTCTCTGTACAGCGCGCTGTTTGACTGGATTGTGTTCAGGACCAACCATGCCCTGCTGAACAACAAGGACCTGGAGGACAATTCAAAGGTAGGAATGAGAAAATAAACACACACTTTAAGAGATCTCATGTGTTCACATACAGAAACACACCTAAGATTTTTCTTCAAACTTTATGAAACCAGTGACATAAACAACATTTGCATCCTGCCAAATGTTCAGAAGGCAGAAAATATCAGTTCTGTTCAACATTAGCAGTGTGCCAAGACAACACATCGCTTTTCTCTTTTATTTTGTGCCTCCTTGTCTCCTCTCTTGTCCATGCCTTTGCCAGGTCACAAAATGCATTTTAGGAATTGATGTCACAGTTCCTAAAATGCATTTCATGGAGAGAGGAGGCTTACCAGAGGAGCTATGAGCAAGGACGCATTGTTGCATCCTTTGCAAAAGCCTTTTCCGCACCTGTGATGTATACAAGAGGTGTGCCACTCATCATATTTAATTGACGTCGCCTCAAAATGTCGGCTCCAAGCACAGATGTCTCATTTTGTTGCCTCCTCTGCTTGCATCTCAGGTGGGAGGGACTAAGACACAAGGAGAGGAGGTGAGGGAGGCAAAAGAGAGTGTACAAATTTAGAAATTAGAAAAGCCTATAGAAACAAAAACACACTTAAAACTCAATATAATCCCAGGTTGAGCCTCCACAATATTTTTGTCTGTAATGATGGTCACTGGGTCAGGTTAGGAAGACAACGTCTTGCTGTGATTTGGACAACTGACCCCTCCCTAAGCCCCGCCCCTTTGTGATGGTCCAACAAGCTGTCAGAGTAAGCATGGAGCCCACATTGTAACTAACTGCACTCCCTGAAGAAACATTATCATATTTTTGGAACAATGAAAGAGTGATTCCAGAGAGAAGTAGACAGAGGGGTCTACAGTCTGTGTTTGAAGGATATATCCAGGATGTCAAACTGACTCAGCAGCAACAGCAGGTTAAAAAGACAAAGATAGTTAGAAGCTAAAGCCGAACTATAGGCTACAGATCACAGTGTAAAAGTGAACCACCACATCACTGCTGATCGCTACACAAGACAATGAATATAAAGGGAAACTTTGCTGATATTGAACCAACTGTGTGGCTTCACAGAGTGTGCAGAGGGTCAATTAAGAAACGTGGCCGACACATTGATCTACGACCAGTCAAAGCTTGACATTTTCTAGGACGCGCATGGTATGGAGAAGACAGTGCTGTGTTTAGAAAAGCCTAAAAAAAATAAAAATAACCTTTCCTCTATTTTCCAGTTCCGCCTGCAGCGCCAACAACATCTTTGTCACTGTTCCTCTTTCATTTCAGCATGTTTACAGTTGAGGAGTGCTCTGCGCTCCTATTTGTTTATAGTCATAGGCGTGAGGCAACACATCATGCAAGCCAAAAACAAAACAAAAAAAACTATGACTCCATGACACAATGGGCAGACGACATAAAACTATCCATTCATGAAGCCACTGCCCATTGTCGTTCCTGATCTGAGCCAACACCCTACGACGGCCAGGTTGGACTTTAATCGGGCTAATATCAAGTAGTGTGAACCAGATGATACAAAACATTTATCAAAATGATATCTCACTATACAATGATGAAAACTCTGTATGTGTGTGTGTCTGTTCCACGTTTTTCTCCCCACTGACTTGGTCAATCCATGTGAAATTTGGCACAGTGATAGAGGGTCATAGGAGGATGCGAATGAAGCAATATTACATCAGTTGGCCAAAGGGGGGCGCTATAGCAACCGATTGAAATTGCAAACTTTGAATGGGCATATCTCATGCCCCGTATGTCGTAGAGACATGAAACTTTGCACAGAGATGCCTCTCCTCATGAGGAACAAATTTGCCTCAAGAACCTATAACTTCCGGTTATATAGATTTTCCACCATTTTGAATTTTTTGAAAAACACTTAAAATCGATCTCTTCCTAGGAAGTTTGACCGATCTACATGAAACTCGGTGAACATAATCTAGGGACCAATATCTAAAGTTCCCTCTTGGCAAAAGTTGGAAAACTTACTAAAACTGAGCTTCTATAAGGCAATGAATATTGCGGAGGGCGTGGCTCATCACATAAAGGTGTATAACATCTCAAGGGTTTCACTGATCACCACGCAACTTTGTAGGCATATGACCACACATAATCTGAGGGGACCCCTCCATTATTGACCCCATCAAACAAAACGGGGGCGCTAGAGAGCTAATTTCTTATCTAGGCCTAACCCCCATATTGATTTTTACTAAACTTGGTAGATATGTAGAACAGGACGCCTCAAGGTGACTGGAGAAATTTAACTCTAATTGGCAACTGGGTGGCGCTATAACAACAGAAAAATGCTTAAAAATGGCTAAAATGCGACCGATCGCTGTGGCTCCCCCTGTGGACCAATGTTTGTTTTTTTTCCTTCTAATTTTTGGTATGACTAAGTCATGGTTTGGTATGCTGTTCATAATCAAGGAAGCTGTCAGTGTGTCATTCTGTCAGTCAGTCATTCTGTCTGTCCCACGTTTTTCTACTCACTGACGTGGTCAATCTATGTGAAACTGCACATTGGCATTGAGGATTGGCATAGGTAGAAGGTGACAAAGCTGCCAATGGGTATGGACTAGTATATTTATATAATTTAAAATATGGTTTTGCGGTTGCAGTAACTGTCATGGTAACATACAGTATAATATATCCAATATTAGGAAAGTAAAGTACATGAGAGTCTTTACAGTGACAGTGTTGTTCAGCAATGTCATGTGCTGTTTGTGTTTCACAGTGGCAGTCAGTAAAATTCAGTTCTGTTTTATTCTAGTGTAGTGATGGTTTAACATTTATATAAAGGGTGTTAAAGGGGTTTCCATCTTAGTATTTCCTTCTCAAACTAAGATAGCACCTTTAACCACATTTTAGCCACGTGCTAAAGTGACACTGACACCAGCTGAGTTATATGAAGCCGCTCGTTAAACTGCACCCCTATCAGGTGGAAATATTCTTCAGCCTGAGCTTATAAATAAAACAAGAAAACCATATCCTTTCTGACTCATCACTGTCACTTACATGTTGCATGGCATCATGGGTAACCTTCTGTTACTATTGGTGTAGTGTACATACATAAGCAGGTAAACCAAAGAGGGAAAGGCCTGGATGATATTGTTTTCTGAGTCAGAGAGCCTGCACAGATTTTGATAAATAAGATTTCGTATTAAAGCAGGGCAGGTAGACACACCAACATTTACAAACATTTGACTGGCACTGCACCATCGTGGAAGTTTAAGAAGTAATATTAATAAATATTCATATTTTTTCATGTCTGTGACAGTTGAAGACATTAAAACTGTAGTGAAAGGTGGTGTGATGTCACTATGATTATCAAATCATCATTTTCACGGTCTATATTTGCTAAATCCGTGTGTCACATGATTAAAAAAAGGTGAGACTCTTATTCTGTAGATGTTCCTCAGCTGAGCAGCAGCAAGCTGTATCTAAGCAGTGTTGCTCACGTGGGCAATGTGGCTGCTCTTATCTGTTAACAGGGGCACTAACAAGAAAAAAACTGTAAAGCTTGGATTCTCTGCCTGAGTCTGAACCGGGTCAGGCCGTAATTTCCCGCCACAGTCCTCGGGCTTGGATGGGTCGGGCTCCTCATAATAGACCTAGGCTATGGAACCAACTACTTATCACACCTGGCCCCCCCTTGACGGCGTCACTGGCAGCACACGTGAGTTGTCGACGGTGACAATGTGTGTCGGCTTCGTCGAGTGTACCAAGTGCAGCACGATGCTGGTATATGACAGCAAAAAGACGGGGACCTCGACACTTAAGAGGCACATGACGAAGGCTTGCCATGGAAAGAAAGACGAGAGTCAGCCATCAATGTCCACGTTTGTATCCTTAAAAAAATGTCGGGTTTAAACCGGGCTCGGGCTTGGAATTACGGTTAAAGGGACTGGCCGGGCCGGGTTCGGACAGAACATGCAGGCTCAGGTGGGGTCAGGCTGGATTTTTTTGGGCCCGATCTAAGCTCTAATGCGCTGCTCACACAGGCAGTATGGCCCGGCCGTAAATAATAAATAAGCAGTAATAAACTTTTGTTGGCGAATTGTAACCAGACACTACCAGTGAACAGTGACTCCTGTGACATGTTGACCTGTGTTACAAAGAATTTCTTCCCGCCTGAAACTCCTGGTCGCAGAAAAATGTCATTATTACTGTTAGCTGCACTGTGTTTTCAGCCTTTTAGATCTGGAACAAGCAGGTGGCCAATTATCAAAGGTTTTCCAATATTTGTAAATGTACATTCAAGAGGAGGGATATTAGGTTAACCTCCTAAATCAACATGCATCCCTTTGTCCTGTTAACGTCCTCCCTTTTGTTCTTTTCGTCTTTCCTCACCTTCATTTGTCTGACTCATGCTCTCCATCCTGCTGCTGTCTGTCTGTCAACCACACCTGTCTGTCTATCTGTCAGTCAGTCAAGACTCAATCCCTTGCTTTCTGGCTTCCTTCATTCCCAGAGGCAGGGAGTGGTATGAAATGAAAATTCCACTGTTTGTGTGTATGTACGTGTGTGTGTATGTGTGTGTGTGTGTGTGTGTTGGAGCGGCAGCTGGCAAGTCAAACCCTGTGGGGGCATCTAAAGGATTAGAAAACAGATCATTGTGTGTGTGTGTGTGTGTGTGTGTGTGTGTGTGTGTGTGTGCCCAGAACATTTGGGCAGATGGCATCAAGTTCCCCTCAGCTCAGTTTACCCCCTGTGGTCCTCTGTGTGGACCAGTGTATGTGTGCATATGTGTGTGCACCTCCCTTGGCACTGACATCATCTGTGTGTGCGTGTGCATGTGTGTGTGTGCCTCCCTTGGCACTGACATCATCAGTGTGTGTGTTTGCTCTCCCTCGGTGCTGTCAGGGGGTCGATGAGGTTGCACTTTCTGTCAAGGTCGTTGTTCTTATGTACAGATAACAGTGTCTATACGCAGCTATACGTGTGCTCATGTATGTTTTTATTCAAACTGCCCTTCGGAGAGAAATAAAACACTGCTGGATTAAATTAAATTAAACTGGAAACAGCTTTTACAGTCCATTTCATAATTAAAGGCTGTCTCTGGATGGACGCCTCCTTCAGATGGTGCTTATTAATGATATATGATGACATGAACCTCCCTGACACCCAGGGGGCATCTGGGTCACTGGAGCTGTAAGGAATGAGATATAAAAAGAAACACAATCAAAATATCTGTAAATCATAAAGAATCATACATTTTTATTGACGTGTACAGTATTTTCTTCACATCCTGATCTCACAAATGTGTAAAATGAAGAAATAAGAATCTGTGTGTGTTTATTTCACCAGATCCTGTCGATAGGAGTCCTGGACATCTTTGGTTTTGAGGATTATGAGAACAACAGTTTTGAACAGTTCTGCATCAACTTCGCCAACGAACGACTGCAGCACTACTTCAACCAACACATCTTCAAATTAGAACAGGTACCGTCTTATTTTCTCTCCTCTCCTCTAGTCTATGCTGCTCTCCTCTTCCTCTTCCTCTTCCTCTTCGTCTCCTATCTGTGCCATTTTGCCATTTGTCACCATCCACACAATGGTTATTGTTGCAGCTACTGATCACGCATTATTGCAGTTTGTGTTGTTCTGCCTCTATGACGCATTAACAACACTCAAACATTCATACATGATTTGCTGCAGTGTGTGTTGGTATCATAATGACGTCATATGTACATCACTTTGTTGTGGCTGTTACATGTTCTTCAAAAACTGCCTTTATGCTTTTGATTGAATCAACTTATGGAGTGAAGAATAGGCGCTCCTGACTCTGCAGTTACGTCAAACTGGGGATAATACATGACTTCCTGTTGAGTGGAGAGCTCTGAATGCAGCACAGTATGGTTCAGCGCAATGTGAGAGAAGGGCGTCTTTGTAGTGCTGTCAGTGTTCTCTGAGGTGCTTTTCACACCTCTTGGTAGTTTAGTCTGATCTGCAGCACCAAAATAGAAAGGATGGTTGTTTTACTGCTAGTTTCTGTCGTATTTAACGCTTTTCTTACAAGCATTTCTTACTCTGTTGTGCTACTGTTGCTGCAAAAGAGCTAACCTAACTGTGGATATGAGGATTACAGTTGTGGAAAATGATCTGTGACATGGAAACTTGACTCTGTCACTGCTATGTATCATCAAGCCTGTATCCAGCAGGCCACCAACATCATTAGATATTTGGTTGAATTTAGGTTGTGACGTCAAGTCACCAGAGTTCAATGTCAGCACAACATCTCACATCTCGCCAAAGTCAGCTTGACGTAGAATATTGATGATATTGATATTTTGTTGGTTTTAAGTGGTCTTGTTAAGTTACAAAAATCCATCTTCTTCTAAACATCTAATGCCAGCATCATCATGACCAAGATAGTGACATTCAGTTGTTGAGTATGGAGAGCAAAACCCACCGTCTGCAAAACGCCATAATAATTCAATGGTGTTCATATCTTTAGTTTCTGATAATGACTTAAGTTGTTCTTTTATCTCAGACCTTCCTCAGAAGTGTCACTTGGTGGTGGTCGTGACACGTCTTTATCAGCTGATCTGTCAATCAGCCGATATTAGGGTGGCGTGACTATCCTGTCAGTTTTTGAAAGGACGGTCACGCCACCCTAATATCGGCTGATTGACAGATCAGCTGATAAAGACACGTCACAACCACCACCAAGTGACACTTCTGAGGAAGGCGCAATTTTCTGCCGAAACATGTCAATGTATGTAACATCCTAACATGTCTGAGATAAAAGAACTAAAGTCATTAAAACGCCATAATGATAACATCCACACAACGTAAAATATTATCATGGTAAGACATTTAAATTATTGTCAACACGATTTTCTTTTTTTCCAACTCTTTTTATTGGGGTTTTCAAAATTAAACAAGCAGTAGCAGGAGTATAAAAGTGAAAATAGAATGTGTGATACATTTAAGGATGTTAGATTGACCATGTTTTCTGTCATTTAAACGAGGCTAGTTAGGGGGAAGGACTTGAGAGTGCGTCTCTCTGAAAGTGGTCTATAAAGGGTTGCCAGATCTGGTAGAATTTGTTTTCACACCCTCTTAGTGAGAATTTAATCTTTTCCAAATGCAGGTCTGAACGACTGAAAAATATTACTACTGACTCTTAAACAGTGCCGAAACATAAGAGCTAGTGAGGCTGGTGACTGCCCACAACAGTCACACGCTGGACTAATATATTTGGATACATTTTACAGAGCTTATTTTTTGATAAGTGAAGTTGATGCAATATTTTAAATTGCAAAAGTACAAACTGAGGAAGAATGTCCCAGTAGTTGGGCTTTTGTCCATGATTCTTCCGAAATAGTAACCCCCCAAATCATTTGCCCAGGCTACTTTTAAAAAATCGAGGCAGGAGGTACAATCTGAACATGAAAGTACATAACAAATAACAGAGGTGCCTCCTTTGATTAGTGGGTCTGACAGAATTTTGGATTCAGTTGGCGAACTGATTGGTAAATTAAGGAATGGTGCAGCGTTTTGCTCGACAAAGCTATGTACCTGTTAATATCTGAAATGAGTATGTGCTATGTCATGTTTAGCTCGTCAACACGATTTTCATTCAAACAAAAATTTAAAGTATTTGTTGCGTAAGAGTTGAACCTCTCTGATTTTATAATCATTGCAATTTTACATAATGCTCTCTGACATTCACTACCTGTAAATAATTAGCCCTCCCAACGCTCAACAAGACTCGGGCATCTTCATCCTGAGAGGCCATCCCTTTAACATATGGCTATCAAAGCTATCAAACATCCACCTTTCAGTAGCAAAATGGTCATGTGCATAAATGCAAGCTACGAAATAAAGTGCTCCAGTTTCACCTTCAGTCATTTTCAGTTCTTGGCTGTTTATAGAACGAGGCTGTAAGAGAGTAAATGCACTTTATAATACACAACCCTGTATTCTTCAGCTCAGTGGCACCAGACTAACATCATCAGACCTTTCACTTATGCAACCAACCAGTCTTTGCGAGCTGAATATTCCCTTGTACTGTATGATCGCCTTGTGCTGGACAGCCACATTCCCCCCCCAACATTACAGTACAAGCAGCCGTAATTATGTAGCTAGGTTAAATTAGCATGCACATCCATTAAAGTGCAAGGTCAGAGGAAAAGTGCTGAACGACTAGAGGAGGCTGACAGGCTGGGTTATAGTGCAGGAGTCATGTTTCCTGACAGCTAATTGCAGCAAACACTGCCAGCACTTTTAGCTATTTGTACATTTTCTCCGACTGGGTTTGTTTGTTTGTCTCTGTGTACTGTTTATGCCTCTGAATGGCCTCGCTCTGCTTGTATTTTTTTTTCTTTTCCGGTGTAATTTCATCACTGTTTGTCCTCGCTGTAACTGCCGTCATTGGCTTCATGACAACCCTCTCTTTCTCTTCCACTCAGACGGACCATTACTGAACCACTAATCCCTGACCAGCTAAATTATGTATTCATTATGCTCATTTATTCAGATACTCACCGCCAAACCACTTAATATTCAGTATGCATGTTTTATTTATTTCCCCAAATCATATCCATAGAACAAGCCAGAGAGCAACGAGAGGGGGAAAAAAGTGAAAGAGACATTTTGGCGAGATAATGAGTCTCTATCAGTTGGACTGTGTCACAGAAACTGTTGGCTCTTGTCTTCCTCTTACTGAGCCCTGATTGGTCGTGGCAACTTAGCGGGCGGGCCCATCGCTGAAGGCTGAATGTGGAGAGAAACAGAGTGGAGGGAAAAAAGAGCAGTGTTTCAGTAAATGAGAGCAATAACGTCCCTTCAGCCTCGATGAAGATCACAGACTGCCGATGCACTAATGGTCCTGTTATCTGTTTCTGACAGTTAGCCCTCAGGGTCTACACACCCATTACACACACACACACACACACACACTGCAGGATGTAACATGTACTAACAAACAGGTTGTGTTACTGTAAATTAAAAATTGTCAGTTAAGCACTCTGGGGTTTTAATTTTACATCTCAATGTTTTGCTGTTGAAAACCTTCAAATATACAGTACAGGCCAAAAGTTTGGACACACCTTCTCATTCAATGCGTTTTCTTTATTTTCATGACTATTTACATTGTAGATTCTCACTGAAGGCATCAAAACTATGAATGAACACATGTGGAGTTATGTACTTAACAAAAAAAGGTGAAATAACTGAAAACATGTTTTATATTCTAGTTTCTTCAAAATAGCCACCCTTTGCTCTGATTACTGCTTTGCACACTCTTGGCATTCTCTCCATGAGCTTCAAGAGGTAGTCACCTGAAATGGTTTACACTTCACAGGTGTGCCTTATCAGGGTTAATTAGTGGAATTTCTTGCTTTATCAATGGGGTTGGGACCATCAGTTGTGTTGTGCAGAAGTCAGGTTAATACACAGCCAACAGCCCTATTGGACAACTGTTAAAATTCATATTATGGCAAGAACTAATCAGCTAACTAAAGAAAAACGAGTGGCCATCATTACTTTAAGAAATGAAGGTCAGTCAGTCCGGAAAATTGCAAAAACTTTAAATGTGTCCCCAAGTGGAGTCGCAAAAACCATCAAGCACTACAACGAAACTGGCACACATGAGGACCGACCCAGGAAAGGAAGACCAAGAGTCACCTCTGCTTCTGAGGATAAGTTCATCCGAGTCACCAGCCTCAGAAATCGCAAGTTAACAGCAGCTCAGATCAGAGACCAGATGAATGCCACACAGAGTTCTAGCAGCAGACCCATCTCTAGAACAACTGTTAAGAGGAGACTGCGCCAATCAGGCCTTCATGGTCAAATAGCTGCTAGGAAACCACTGCTAAGGAGAGGCAACAAGCAGAAGAGATTTGTTTGGGCCAAGAAACACAAGGAATGGACATTAGACCAGTGGAAATCTGTGCTTTGGTCTGATGAGTCCAAATTTGAGATCTTTGGTTCCAAGCGCCGTGTCTTTGTGAGACGCAGAAAAGGTGAACGGATGTATTCCACATGCCTGGTTCCCACTGTGAAGCATGGAGGAGGAGGTGTGATGGTGTGGGTGTGTTTTGCTGGTGACACTGTTGGGGATTTATTCAAAATTGAAGGCACACTGAACCAGCATGGCTACCACATCCTGCAGCGACATGCCATCCCATCCGGTTTGTGTTTAGTTGGACGATCATTTATTTTTCAACAGGACAATGACCCCAAACACACCTCCAGGCTGTGTAAGGGCTATTTGACCTAGAAGGAGAGTGATGGAGTGCTGCGGCAGATGACCTGGCCTCCACAGTCACCGGACCTGAACCCAATCGAGATGGTTTGGGGTGAGCTGGACCGCAGAGTGAAGGCAAAGGGGCCAACAAGTGCTAAACACCTCTGGGAACTCCTTCAAGACTGTTGGAAAACCATTTCAGGTGACTACCTCTTGAAGCTCATGGAGAGAATGCCAAGAGTGTGCA